TTAGTACAGCCCCTTTTAAAATGCTCATGAGGCATTTTTAGGGTCCCGGATTTATTATTTATTATTAGGGGGGCGGTTTATTAATATGAGGAAGGGATTATGATGGTCAGCATCATTTTCTGTTAGACACATGGTGCCACAACCAAGCCTAGTATGCAACTGTGACACAAACATACCTGCTATATAGGGCTTCAAGAAATATACATGCAGATATACAGGGATGGACAAGGTTCAGGGTTTCCAAAACTAGGGGGGTCTCTTGTAGAGGATCCCCACACAAGAGCAATGCATCATTATCCCTAATACTTGTTAGTGAAGAGGCCTTCGCATGGCGTTGTTGCTGGTAGCATGGCTTACGCAAAACTACTCAACCAGCACCTTCCTGGCAGAGAAGTGGCGTACCAAAGGACGCTAGTGAACAATCGGGTTTTAGTGCGCAGCCTTAGTACCCTTCAGCGCTCCAAGGAAGTGCCTCGTCAACATCCAGGGCTTCGGCTTTGCGAAGCTTTGAAATGCGCCACTCCAGGAGCATCCAAACAGCAGAGAGCAACAGGCAGCCTGCCGCAAACGAACATAGTATGGCAGGCTTCGTGCTCGAGCGCTTACACGTCTCAACGTGTGACAAATGTTGGGGATGCGAAAATGTTTATTGGCTTTTGGGGGCGTAGAAAGGTTTAGGATAGATAGCATATTGTTCATTGCCTGCAAGCATATGGGATCATTGCAAGTAAATCTTGTGTGACCCATCCTCTCGGACTTTACAGCATTCATTCAAATAACAGTTCATGGACCTAAACATTCATAGCGTGCACCTGGCTCAGACCCCAATGAACCCCAAAGCCTTCAACCATGTAAGCCCAACAAAACACACCGCCCCGTCAATTTCTGCGCTTGCCTAGGCAGGGACAACCCAAAACCGTGTGAGAGTTCTTTCAAAGTTGCACCAAATCAGAGTGTACTCTTGTCATATAGTATTCCAAGCAAAGGGGGTGCTTGGGGCCTGTAATAAGCCTGTTAAAACGCGCAAAGGTCCTGTCACCTCCTGCTTGGCTCCACATGACCTTGACAAGCACTCGTCGCTGCCGCTCCTTCCAACAGTACATTAATATGTATTAGGGTTTAGGGTTTAGGGTTGGTAAGAAGGAGCTTGGTTACCCCAACCCCTCAAATGAAAGGACAGTTGGCTATCATATGACCCTTACAGGCTCCGAATTCTGGGGGTTTCGGGCTACCAAAATCTCCCCATTAGTGGGCATTTCCAGCAATGGGCATCCTTCTTGTGTAGCCTCAGAAACCAGCAATCCTTGTTAATCGTGGTTCCCAAGTCCAGACCGCGAAACTTGGAACCCCTGCATGTGCCCCGTGGAGACTATTAGCTTCTGTGAGGAGTGTGGACAATATAGTATAAGCGCCATGCTATTTTTTAAGATAGCAGAACATCGATGGTTCGCCGTCGGCGATGCCACAGCACTGCTCCACGGCGTTATTCTGTCTTCAGGGCATGGTCGATCTTGGAAATGGACGCGGGGCCGGAGCGCTGCCGCTGTGGTTTCGGTACGATTTGGCTGCAAGTTTGGTGTGGAAAAGGGGCAATGTTTGCTGCTCCAGATTCACCATGAAAGGCCCCAGTATCTTTGATTCAATCTTGTCGAAGCCAGGAAACTGCTTGACATCCAAAGCCTGCCCCTGTCAGGCCTGCACAATTGGCGCGTCTGTACCTCTTGAGCGCTTCCTACATTTTAAGCCCTCCAAAGGCCAAAACAAATATTGTGCGTGGATCGCGACCATCCCAGAGAAAGTCGAACAACCCAAACACAAGTGTGTGTATTTCTTGGACACAAAACAGAGCACGCTCCTCACGGACAAGCAACCGGAGAGCGTCTTCGATACGTTGGGGAGCAAAAGCGCGGAATTCACCCAAGCAGTTAGGAAGTGTCTCTTCACTCTGCCGAAGAACTAGCTGGGCCGCCAGCGACGCAGAAGCACACGGCAACATCGCTGATCTTTTCAGGCAGCCAAAAAAATTGTCAGAGCATGGACGGTAAAAAAGAACGGAATTGAGCCCCGCCAACCTCCGCACTCTCCCCGAAAGACGCTGAGTACGCGCGAAACTGAGCAAACAGCCAGGCAAAACAAAGCGCGGTCAGCAACCGCCCCCTCAACTATCCCTCAAGAAGCTGACATGTGCGCGACAGCATAGGGACAAAGTCACCTGTCCGGAAAAGGCACGGCAACCCTTGGGGATGGTGTGTAGTAGTTGTAGGGTCCGGGTATGTCGAGTGCTGTTGGAAACGGCAGCAGTCAGGGAGGTCAGTCAATCGACAGTGCCTTGAGGAGACCTTGATGGGGATTCGTCCTAAACTCATAAACCCTAAGTCCCAAAAGCTTATTGGCACCTATTGAGTTTTAGGGTGCTAGGGTTTTTAGGGTGGTGCTGGTGTTCAAAGTAGCCAAAACCTTGGGATGGAATTAGGAGTCTGAGAAGGGGTAATCATTGTTCCTGCCCGGCATGATTGAAGATGTATAATGTAATAATGAGATACCCATAAATATCCAATATAGATCCAAAATATCATGATCCTTTTTCTGGGGATACACCCTATGCTGATGTTTTTCTCGGTCTGTACGTTAGATACTAAGCCCGAAGGCTCCACCTCCAATTCTGAAGACTGAGCCCTTCCACCACATCAACGCAGCAATCCCTAATGTCGAACATGCGCCACTGTAGGTATGCATGTAGGCATGTATGCGTGGGCATGAGTATGTGTATATGTATATGCATAAAAATGTATGTAGACTATACACGCAACAGATAAATTAATCAATCGTTGATTGCTACAGGCATTATTTGATGGGATGCCTGCATCAACGTTGCATATCAAGGGGCCATGATTAAAACTCAGGCCCTAAACCCTGAACTAATGAATCTCAATTTCAAAGCCCCGCATCCTAAACCCTGATCCCACACATGCCAGCATCCGTAGACCATTAAAGCCCGAGACCCTAAACCCTTAAAGCTCAAAGACCCTAAACCCCAAACCCAGCGATCAAGGTCCTTGGCGGCCCTGGTGCCAGCATGGCTTGCGGCTTTGTCATGCTCCAAAGGATAATCCACGCCATCAATGCCTTTTTTGTTGTTTGGGCTAATACGAGGGGGTTTAGGGCTTAGGGTTTAGGGCAAAAACTAGGATCAAGGCTTCATAGGGGTTATAGCAGGATGTCATAAGGTTTATATAGGGCTTGCGTATCATGGGTTCCCCTACTACCTCCCCTTCCCTATACTCCCCCCCTAAGTTCCCCCTTAATAAACCTCAATGAAACCTAATTATCTGTAAGTAACCTTAGTTAAGGGGGAAACCTGGGCGGGGGTAGTATAGGGGGGTAGTAGCGGAATCCATGATACGTGCGGATTATGCGGCGGCTAATTCTCGGCCTTGTATCAAGGAGGCTGAGGATTTGGGGTTTAGGATGTAGGGTTTAGGGTTTAGGGTGGAGATTTTGTCATATTACGGGACAGCTGTGAATGATAAGCAGTACAAAAGGACCTATTAGTGACTATTGTGAATGTAAGAATGTTTGGGCACGGTGGAAAACAAAAAGGAATCTCAGTTTGTGGGGTGGGGGGTTTTAGAAGTGATTGTTTAGGTTTTGAATTTTGGGTACCCCACACCCCAAAATTTGGGCACTATGACTCTCAGAGCCTATCATCCAGCTCGCATAGCATCCATGAGCCCTAAACCGTAAACCCTAAACCCCAAAATAGGGGCTGGGGTTGCACAAGGCCTCTTATGCTTTGTGAAGGTGTTGAGACATTAAGGCTTCCTTCTTCGGGGGGCCGTGATAGCAAGCCAGGTTGCTGTAAGGAACTCTGTTTAAATTACCATATTAATAGTAATTTGGTAAATCATAAGGTTTCTTTACTATGGTATTACCACATTATTGGTATATCGTAAATAATGAGGTTTCTTTACTATAGTACTTTGAAAAAGGTTCCTCAACAGCAACCCAGCAAGGGGTCAGGGCGAGGTGTACGGCTCAGGGTTGGGAACTTCGGATCCAGAGCTTCTCAACATGCAAATGCACCAAGGGAAGCTAGGGGTAAATGTGGATTCCAAGGAGAGCAAAAGGGGCATTCTGTAGGAAGTATCATATTCAGAAAGTGACATAGGGATTGACAATGAAATTTCAAGCCTGGGTCTTTTGACCTTGGGTTTCAGAATTTGGGCTGAATGCTTACAATATGTGACGGAGGGTTCAGGACGCTGGATTCGGCAGCTTAGGGTTTCAGGCTTTACAAATGTCAATATGTGCCTGCACTAGCAAGTTTGGCAATCACAGAGAATGTCAAATTATTAAATTCTAGAGGGCCAAGGTCCTGGGAGACCCGGAAAATTCAATATTATTGGGGAGGGGGCGGGGAGACGGCTTAATTGATGTTAGGGGAGCGGATCGCCTTAATTGGCAGAATGAGCAACGGTTCGCAACCCAAGGGCTACTATGATGTCAGCTGTGGGCGTCTTAAAACTCTGGTGCCTGACATACTTAATTCAAGTTACCATATTTTGGGGAAAACCAATTGAATTACTTTAAATATACATATATAGATATATAGCATTATATAACCCACTATAGTAGTTTCCATTTTCTTTTCCATGATCCCTATATGACCCGCCATAGATACCCAATTATGGGCATGATTACATGAAAGGCTTAGGACTTAGGACCCCAAAGGGGAATCTATTTTCTTGAGGCGTTCAGATGTCTTTGAAGTTGAACGAAACACTTACGAGTTGAACCCACAGGGGAATCCATCTTCTGGAACCTAGGTTTAGGGTTTAGGGTTTAAACCCTAAATCCTAAACCCCAAACCCTAAATCCCGCAGGTCAAATGTCTCACAGTTGAAACTGAAGCGCTCAAGCTCTGAAGCCCGCTTTCGTGCTGTGAAGCCACTGATACTGAGGTCCTTCGAGTTTCGAAGAAGAGTCCCAAGTCCAACATCTGGATCCTGCTGTTTAACTTCCTTACTGGTTCCTAGTAGGGAATAAGGGAATCGAATAAAATCCCCATATAACCCCTATATCCCTACCAACAACCAGTAAGTTGCGGGTTGGCAGGAGGGCTTTTGTTTGGTGTTGTGGCTTTCTGCATCCAGGTGTTAGTGAACTTCCATTCAGCCAAGGGTGCACTCAGTGAAATTGCTCTGCTTGCCGCTCATCGCTTGTGAGATCAGGTTTACTATCCAACACAATCCCCCAACCAAGCCCAAGCAGACTTGAGTCCGCTCCAAACTGTGCCAGTGGCGCCTGCAAATCTCAATCCAAGCCAACTCTGGGCATCTCTAAGACCTCAATACCCGATGCCACAGGCATCGTATACAATCTACATCCTGTCCGAAGCTGCTTACGCAATAACTTCAAGAAAACTCACGTGCTGCACAGAGCTACTCTGTTCCCATATTGCTGCTTCCAGATTCAAGGGGCGGGGTAATCAGAACCAATTCGCAGCCTCAACCGCAACTACGGTGGATACAATGACCTTATAAGTACCATCATATAAGTACCTTTGTACCTTTGGTATTATAGTGCTATAATATAGTAAGCTCATGCAGGATCTTATAATCCTTCTTGTTTTAAGGATCCCCCCCAAAACAGGACCCCGAATTTTGGGAAACTACCTGACATGGGCAACTACTACATGCCTCGCCCGTCCATTTACCACACCTCTACACTCTACAAACCCTACACCCTGAACCCATAAACCCTAAACTCCAAACCCTATCGAGCCTACAAACCCTAAACCCTAAACCGCAGGTCCAGTGCGGCTCCAGCGCGCCTTGAATGTTGAAATAGATGTTTGGGGTTAGGTGGACCCCCCAGCCTGTAATGTCAGTATATAAGGGTTATATTGGGGCCTTATATGGGTAATATAGATAGTCGGTGTATATAGGGGTTATATTACGGTTATATAGGGGCTATAATGGGATAATGGAAAATAGAATGGAAAGTACTACAGTAGTACTGGTAATATGCTTATTAATAATATTATTACCATTATGGTAATACTGACTGAAAGGGATAACGGTGATTCTTCTAGGGGTCCTTCATATTCCTGTTATATCAGGACTACAGGGTGGAGTGTCCAGCGAACTTGCGACTTGGGGTTCAGGCACAGAATGGGCTTAGGGCTCAGAGTGCTGCGCGGAGGGTGGCAGATCTGGAAGCGCTTGGAAACACGAAATGCGCTGAGAAAGCGGCTGCTGCGTGACACTTTAAAGAACATAGTGACATGAGCTATAGTCTAAACTCCTAGTATCCCCCCTAATATCCCCTATAGTAGTACCCTATATAGTCCCCTATATAACCCCCCCATAAGGAGTTTAGACTATAGCTCACATAGAGTTACACGAGGTTTAGGATTTAGGCTCATGAGATGCGTCTCAGAGGTCTTTGAGAAGGGCTGGAAGAAGCTATCAAGCTCCACTATAATTTGGTAGGGTTTAGGGTTTAGGGTTTCCCAGAATTAGGGGTACACTTTTTGGTGTCCCAATAATAAGGACTATAGTATTTTGGGGTCTATATTGGGGTTCCCCTTATTTTGGGAAACTACCATAATGATTTTTGATATCCGTATCGTGACGATCACGTTGGTGATTTCCGGGATTACTGGGGTACTCCCATGGATATTGCAATTCTGATGGATCCTCTCCACGTTCTGATAACAACCATCACCACCATAATGGTGGATATCTCAGAGCCGGAACTTTGACTTTTTGAGGGGATGACGGCTTCACTGCTTTTAACCCTAAACCCTAAACAGTTGTTTCCACTTTATTTTCCATGTTCTTTGGAACTCCATTATTGGAGGGTAATATCCCCAAACACTAAAACCCTGAAACCCTAAACACCTGTACCCCTATATAACCCCTTTGGCCCTAAACCATGCGTCAATCAAGCTTGCGATGCAGCAACTTTGCATAATCCCCTCCCCCTCATATTAAACACCCCCCCCAACTTTAAATACTTTGATATTAGGGGAAGGGTGGGTGGGGTTGATATTAGGTGGAGGGGATTACTTCGTGACTTCGTGCAGGCAAGCAGCTTGACAACCACGGAAGATATTGCGCTAGGCCTCTGAGGAGAGTCCCGCACGATTTATGTCGGTGGGGCTTGCAAGCAAAAATGCCTTCGATCCTTAACAGGCGGTACAGAGGGGCCATCAAAGGATCGTGTGGCCTCCTGGGAACACTCGACATGGATCATTTGAGAACCTCGCCGATCCGGAGCACATGCGGATATGTTGGCGAGCCTATCCATGTAGAGATTCAGAACGGTTCTGCAGACCCAAATGGGGATTGAATAGTCTCCGACAATTTGGGCCTCCCTCTCAGCAGGGTCTGGAGGAGGCAAAACTCCACGCTAGTAGGTTGAGGCATGCATGTCTGTGTTACTGCGTTCGCCACGTGTGTCTTACACCTAAATACGAAGGGCACTTCCCCACCAACATTGGGCCTTGTTACATGGGTGAAAGAAAGCCTGTTTTGGAGACACTCCACGAAAAAGCTTGATTTGTGCAAATCCCATGTCATGCCTCCTGGACACCACAGCTAAGGTCCCTACAAGAGGAAATGTACAATCAACCAAAATCACGATTGGTGCAGAACACGGAAGTTTAAGCGAGAATGCCTCATCAATTGCATGCTAAACTGCCAGGGCTTGGAACTTCATGTCAACACATCATATCCCTTCAGCAAGTCGAGCAGAATTACACTGGCCCACATATGTCGGAAGTTTGTGAGAATGGCGTGGCCCTTCAGGACCCTACAAATGTTTAGGGATCATCAGGAGAGAGTGTGTGCATACATATATACATAGTATACAGCCTCACAAGGATTGTACGGAGGATAATTTTCAGAACCTCTATTGTTGCCAAGCAGCCACAAGAATTCAATCTCGCCCCTCAGCTTCCTCATAGGGTGCGAGAGGAGCCTCAGTTGCTTTCTGATCCATCGCCTCCTCCTTATTAGGGTTTAGGGTTTAGGGTTCAGGGTATAGGGTTTAGGGTTCAGGGTTTAGGTTTTGGGGCAAGATCCGTGGTCAAGCATTTGATCCACTGCTAAAACCCTATGTATTTCAAGAATCAAGGACTTCTCTCCTGTGAGGCAGGCTCACACGTTCCTATAGGGGATTTTTCCACAGAGTACCGCAACCTTGAAAATTCACCGATCTAATTTGGGTTAGTGTTCACGAACATAAGATTAACTTATTGTACGGAGGAAACCCTATTGTTTACTACATACCCATATTCAAGTAATTTAAACCCTAAATCCTAAACCCTTAATCCACCCTAAACCTAAACTCTGTAAACCCAGATTATGAAAACTCCAATTAAATTCCTCATTATACCCTCATAAAACACTAATATCACCCTAATATATATATATACATACATACCCATTATATACCCTATATCCCCCAGTCATCCCAGGGGCAGCGACAAGGCTGGCCAGCCCCCAAAGACAGCTCTGTCTGGGACGGTCCGAATAGGATCCTCACCTGGCTGTCCGGGGATTTCGGTCACGGAAGGGCTTCCGGGTGTAGGATTTAAGGTTTAGGGTGTAAGGTTTAGGGATTAGGAGGATTGTTGTTTTGAGTTTAGGAATTAGGGGAGGGTTTTGGAGTTTGGGGGTGAGCGTGTTGGATTCCTGCAGGCTGTTTTCATCTGAAGGCTACATGGAAAGTCTGCAAAACTCGAGGTAGGGATTCCTATCCATTTTCACTAACGTCTACCAGACCGCCAGGGTCCTCCATCTTGTCCCAGTATTCTATATATGGAGGTTTCCCAAAATTAGGGGTACCTTTTTGGGGACCTCTTTCATAAGGACTATAGTATTTTGGGGTCTATAGCGGGGTACCCTAATTTTGGGAAACTACCATATATATATATATACATTTATACATGTGTGTACATCGATATAGTGACTTAATACATAAATTACTGTCATGACTCTCTCATGACTGTTGGTAAGTAACTTGGTAACCCAGTATATGAACCAAATGTCCATTACATGTTCAGCGTGTACGTCACGTACAGAAGATCATCATCAATGTCCATCTCATTGCGAGTACTCACTTCCATTTGGTGCTCCCCTTCTCTGTTCTTAAGCCCTAAACCCCAAAGAAACCCTAAACCCCATATTATTGTAACCTATGTAACCTATATGAACACATAACCCCTTTAAACCTCTTAAAATGAATAGAGCCTATGGGGATGCATGCCTCGCTTGCTCCAGCCCTCCACCACAAAGGACTCGCCTCCTTGGTCTTCAAAAAGCTGGGTTTAGGGTGTAGGGTTTAGGGTTTAGGGCCGGTGAATAAGGACATTGTGAGTTTGGCGTGTCAGGAACTTGGCATCTCAGAAATTTAGGGTTTAGGGCATTTGGGTTCAGGCTCCGGTGCAGATCCATTGGGTTCCAGGAGACATGACTTCTCAAAATCGGGCTTGTGTGGAATCTACAGGCATACAGGGTTCCCAAAACAAGGGTCCCATTTTGCACCCCAAAATAAGAGGTGGGGAAATATGGTCTGTAACAAGGAGGGCCCATAATTCTGAGATTGACACATCTAAGTTAAGGATTTCACGGGGAGTACGGTGGTGTTGTAACGGCGATTCAAGAAGGGTTCTTTTGAGAACTGCAGGGAGTAAGCTTTTTCTCGCTCTTTGGAATTTGCCACTACACGGCCACAGGTCACGTGCGCTTAGTTTAATGCCTGCGGTAAGCCAACCTTCAAGACAACCCCACAAATGTGCCATAGAAAGATTCAGCGCCCAACTAAAAGGGTTTAGGGCTTAGGGTTTTGGGTTTTTGTTTAGGGCATACTGGTGACTCTTGTTAGCAACGACTGGCGGAAAGGATCCCTACAAGAGCCTCTATAGAAGCACCAAAAAGATCATAGCTTCTGCTGTCTCTGCCATTCCTTGATTCCGTACTAATAATCCTACACGCTA